TACGTACCCTATATAATTTTTAAACACAAAATTTACTCACTTATGACACTTTACAATCCCAATATCTTTGATCGGAGTTTTCATGAGTTGTTGAGGTCTTTATCTCACAGTATTTGCCACAAAGGCAAACATCAGGTTCTATAGAGGACATTGAATTTTGAGACGCCTGCGACATCAGTAATCTAACGAGGAAGCTATAGAAGAGATAAAACGAAAGAGGAAGTTGAAGAACATATGCAGAATAGTTTCCCAAGGCTGTTTTATGCTCCAAATTTGAATAGTGCGTGGTATGCATGTGTTATACTAGTCAAACCTGACCAAATGTTCATTAAGCTGGCATGTGTGGCTAGGGTAATATGCATGCCTAACATACAACAATAACATACCCAGTATAGTCCTACAAATGCGGTCTGAGAAGAATAGTGTGTATGCAGACCTTCTTCCTATCTTATAAAGGTAGAGAGGTTGTTCCCGATAGACCCTCGGCTCAAAAAAAAGTATAATCATAGCAGTTTAGAAAAGAAAACACGACAGAAAAGAATCCATGTAAAGAGAAGAAATAACCACAACCAGAAAATAAGATAACCGAAGCAAAAAAAAACAGGTAGTATTAGAAATCTAAGAATAGGAAGTACGAGACTACACTAGTACTACAAGTATAGAAATGCATTAGATGTACGAAAATGAATTATGCACGACTACTTACCACTCTACTATCCTAATCCTCGACCTCCACCCCCTCCTAGCAAGTGTCATATCCTCGGCAAGCTGAAGATATGTCATGTTCTGCCTAATCACCTCTCCCCAATACTTCTTCGGCCTACCTCTACCTCTCTTTGGCCCCACCATAGCCAACCTATCATACCTCCTCACTAGGGTATTTGTACATCTCCTCTTCACATGCCCAAACCATCTTACTCTCGCTTCCCGCATCTTGCCTACCATGGAGGCCACTCTTACCTTGTCCCAAATATTTTCATTCATAATCATATCTTTCTTAGTATACCCAAACATCCATCTCAGCATCCTCATTTTTACTACTTTCATCTTCTGAACATGAGAGGTTTTGATTGGCAAATACTCTGTCACATACAATATAGTCGGTCTAATAACAGCTTGTAGAACTTACATTTTAAGTCTTAGTGTAACTTTCTTATCACACAAGATGTCGGATACAAGCTTCCATTTTATCCACCGCTCTAATATGATGTGTGACATCATCATCAATCTCTCAATTACTTTAAATTATAGACCCAAGATACTTGAAACTTCTTCTCTTGGGAATGACTTATGTGTCCAGCCTCACTTCCACGTTAACTTCCTAAGTCATATCACTGAACATGCATTCTAAGTATTCTGTCTTAGTCCTGCTCAACCTATAACTTTTAGACTCCAAGGTCAACCTCCAAACCTCTAGCATGGCGTTAACACTGCCTCATGTCTCGTCAATCAGAACTATACCATTATAAGGCCCCGTAAAATTTTACCTAAAATACGGGGTTTTGTGGTACCGAGGTGGGCTAATACGTTTGAGGATTGTAGAAATTCTTCGTGGCGAGCAAGCTCGCCGCGATACGGACCTTTTGTGTTGAACAGTGCATTGGGGAGTTGAAGAAACATTATTGCAAGTTAGGGCATTTCTGCGGTCCATTATGTGATCGCAGAACTACTCCGCAGGCCGCAGATCCGTTGCGGAGTGAAGCAGAGAAATGACCAATTTTGGAGGTCATTTTGCGGTCAACTATGCAGCCTCATAAATGTTTCGTGGGCCGCACATCCATCGCAGAACCATCATGAGAAATTTCGGAAGGAGATTCTGCGGTCAATTATGTGATCGCAGAATTGATCTGCGGACCACAGACCTGTTGCATACCTGCACAAAAGTGCCTAGTTCCGGAATGCCATTATGCGGTCTATTTTGCGGACCGCAGAAGTATTATGCGGTCACATATACGACCGTAGATTTGCATCGTGGCTCCATTTTTCTAATTTCATAACCCGACCCCATTTCATTTTATCTAGCCATATGGGTCATTCTTTAGGGATTATCTAATATTTTAAAGAGAGAATATAGCTATTCTAGAGAGAGAAAGGGAAGGATTTAAGGATTTCACTACTCAACTCTTATCAAGCCTTGGAATTTCATCAAAAGGAACTTGTTAGGGTTTTTAAAAGGTAAGAATTTATTTTCCCAATTTTTTAATTTCGGATTTGGGTTAATTATGGGTGATGAGAGTAGACTTATCACATGCATGAGCTAATAGGGATTGTGGGAAAGTTGTTGGACAATCTTGGGTGGTTTTGTTGTTGAATTAGTTGAGGAAAGGTTGGGTTGTCATTGTAGCAGCTTTTGCCATACGAATTCCTCTAATCATGCTTGTAATTCTCCCTTCTTCTATAGATTGGCATCGTTAGGAGTGTCGGGACGTTGTTGTTACACCAAGGAAAGCTCTTTTGAGGTATGAAGGCTAAACTCTTCTACTAGTATCAGAATTCTCGTATTCGTACAAAACTTCATCGTGTGTAGTTCAAACTTGAAACACTATTGAGGTGGGATATCCAAGCTAGTAAATTGATTCCCAAATTGCATAACGTGTCAGAATCCTCATGTGTTAATGATTTTCTATTTGACTTAATTATATTATACCCCTTTTGGGGAGAAAGTTTCGTACGAAATCAATGTGATAAAATTCTTATATCTCATATGATGAAATCTTATGAACTTATATTTGTTAAGGCCAAGGGTGACAAAAGGTTTGATTTGAAAGGAGATATTTTGTACAAACTATTATCGTTTTGAGAATCCAAATTGTGGTATTGTGATTACACCTCCACCCGCACACATTGGGGTGAGACGGCATGGCCGCTTTGTGTAGAGATTATGGTGTTGTGATTACACCTCCACCCGCACACATTGGGGTGAGGCGGCAGGGCCGCTTTGTGTATAGATTGTGGCATTGTGATTACACCTTCATCCGCACATATTGGGTGAGGCGGCAAGGCTGTTTTGTGTAGAGATTGTGATTACACCTCCACGCGCACACATTGGGTAAGGCGGCAGAGCCGCTTTGTGTAGAGATTGTGGCATTGTGATTATACCTCCAGCCGCACGCATTGGGGTGAGGCGGCAGGGCCGCTTTGTGTAGAGATTGTGGTATTATGGTAGAGGTTGTTATAGAGGATCCCCAACTTAAAATTTATAAATGTTATTGAAAGCTTAAAATGAATTTCCTATAGTTTTAATGGCTATTTAAGATCTTTTATCACTTCTATGATTCGTCACATTCATGTTGTACTCCCAATCCTTGAAGGAGGTATTTGGTTTTCATACTAGTACTATTCGACATGTACTAACGTCCCCTTTGCTGGGGGCGCTGCATCTTTAATGGATGCAGGTGGTTCCACAGTAGGCGACTTTGATCAGTGATAGCAGTACACCCTCTTCCCAGCTGACTTGGTGAGCCCCACTTCATTTCGGAGTCGTATATCTTTTATTCTTTGTGCATTATATTTTGAAGTATAGCCGGGGCCTTATTGCCGGCACTATCATAGCACTCTTTTGTATCTATTAGAGGCTCCGAAGACATAGTGTAGGTTGTATGTTGGTGTTTGGAAAGTCAGACTAGTAATGTTGTATTTGTACCGCATGTTTCAATTCAAACTATGAAAGTGTATGTATTATACAGGCTTGCTCGGTCTGGTTATATTGGTTGAGCGCCGGTCGCGCTTCCCGAGGTCGGGGCATGACAATCATCTACAAATAACATGCATCAAGGTACCTCCCCTTGAATGTATCGCATCAACTCATCCATTATCAAGGCAAACAATAACGAAGAGCTGATCTCTGGTGCAACCCCATTATGAATGAAAAGTGATCAGAGTCTCCTCTTATCGCCCTCACCCGAGTCTTGGCTATGTCGTATATGTCCTTAATCGCCCTAATGTATACAACATGTGTGCCTCTAGCCTCTAAATATCTCTACAGAACCTCTCTTAGGATTTTGTCGTAAGTTTTTTCTAGGTCGATGAACACCATATGTAAGTCCTCTTGCTCTCCCTATATTGCTCCACCAATCTCCTAACAAGATGAATGACTTTTGTAGTAATCCAAACTGATTCTCAGAAATAGACACGCCCCTCTTCATTTTCATCTCCACCACCCTATCCCAAACCTTCATAGTGTGACCAGGGGCGGCTCAACAGATCTTGGGGCCTAAGGCGAAACCATATTCGGAGGCTCTTAATCTCAGTATAATCCCACTAGGGGGATCTTGGGAGGGTAGTTTGTACGCAGACCTTACCCCTATCCTGGAGTAGAGAAGCTGTTTTCGATAGACCCTTGGCTCCCTTCATCCAAGAACTCCCCACCTTACTTTTGGGGTGACTCGAACTCACAACCTCTTGATTGGAAGTGGATGGTGCTCACCACTACAGCAACCCACTCTTGTCAAATATATTAATTAATGACGGAAGAAAATTATCATAATTTATAAATTTATTGTATAAAATAACCTCAATCAAGTAACAAAAAATATACTGTAACACTTTTTTAATTCTAATTGTTTATATAAATTATATAATATATAATAGTAATAATAATAATAAGAATTTAAAATAAATTTGGGCCTTCAAAATTTGGGGCCTAAGGCAATGGCCTCACTATCCAAAACCTTAGAGCGATCCCTGAGTGTGGCTTAGTAACTTGATATCCTATAATTATTGTGATTTTGAATATCAACCGTGTTCTTGTATAACAAAATCATTGTAGTCTACCTCCATTCCTCGAGCAATTTTACCGTCCTGAAAATGATACTATAAAATAACTCATAAGCCATTCCAATCCTTCCCTTCGCATTATTATTGTTCTTTTGTAGATTTTTCACGTTTGGTTGAAGTTTCCCTCGTTCTGAGAAAAAAATTTAGACCGCGTTGCGCTGACGTTGGTGTGCGTGGGCAGTCTTATTTTTACCAAATCCACTTGAATTTGGAGTGGGATGAGATGGACGACTGAGATTGATCCTTGCCAAGCCATCCTAGATTCTTGCCCCTACCCTTAAATTCCCTTCCCTTCCTCTCCATAGAGCCTTTCCTGCTCTTCTCTCTGCGTTTCATAATAAGAGGCTTTTTTCGAACGTTCTCCAGATCCATCCCACTGTCTTTTTATCCGAATTTCCCGATTCATAAATGTATGAATTAATTTCTGTTTCCAATAATCATAACTTTGGGATTCCGCTTCTTTTTTTTGTCCTTTTGTTTTTAAATTTACGCTCTTAATCGTTTCAAATTCAAATTCATTCTTTTTAATTCTGGGTGTACAGAATCATTTTTCATCATATTTATACTTGTATTTGCTGATTTGAATCCACCTGTATTTATTTAAGTAAGAAAAAACCCTAGGATGGAAGAATGTAATACGGCAGCAGTTGGAGATGTAGAGGAGGGTGAGATCTCAGATTCGGCATCGGTTGAAGAAATCAGTGAGGATGCCTTCAATAAGCAACAAGACCCACCTACATCTACTGCTACTACTAAGGTTGTCAATTCGAATAATCATAATCAAAATCAAAATCAAAATTCGAGTACTAGGGTTTGGACCATGAGAGATGTATATAAGTACCCAATCTCGAGGGACTACGCACGGGGTTTGTATAACCTGGCTTGGGCTCAGGCCGTGCAGAATAAGCCTTTAAACGAACTCTTCGTCATGACTACTGACGACAACTCCAAGCAGTCTGTGGAATCTTCTTCTGATATGGTGGAAAAGGTCATCATTGATGTTGACGACGATGCTATGGAGGAAGGAGAATTGGAGGAAGGCGAGATCGACTTGGATGCTGAGGTCCTTGTGGTAAATGCTGGTGCTACCAATAATGATGATCAACTTGACTCCTTTCAAACTTCAAATGTGATTAGGGAACAACTTCTTAGTGTTACTATAGACGAAATGGAGAAGTAAGTAAAGTGGACCATTTTTTTTTTCTTTCTAAAACTGTATTTGAAAAATTTATCTAGTAAATAACTACTTACACAAGAAAGCTTTGATTGCAATTAAATGGGTTCTTTGACTAATTACTTATGCTCTATCTGTCTGCTGTTAGATCCTTTCCTGTGGTCTGTTCCAAATTGCAAAACTCATTGGACAGCGTGAGGGAACTAGCTGCTTCTCCAGATTCCGACGATCTGGTTCGACTGTTTATGACTGCAATTCAAACCGTAAATTCTGTAAGATGGCGCATCTTTCAAGCCAATTCCATAACTGGAAAAAATGTGGTTTTCTGAATGCTTAAATCTCTTTCTTTTGCAGGTTTTCTGCTCCATGAACCAGAATCAGAAGGAACAGAACAGAGAGATTCTATCTAGGTTTTTTGTTGTTTCTTTTACATTTACGTCTTGTGATTGACATCGGTATATATACTAGTTCCTAGTGCATTTGGAGACCTTTCAATCATCCTAACTTGCTTGCAGGTTACTTCTTCACGCAAAGAGCCAAGTACCTTCTCTTTTGTCTTCTGAGCAGTTAAAAGAGGTGTGTTTTCCATAAAAGTACACATATATATTGAGAATGCTTGGCTTATGCTGTTTCATTGATGTCCCAGGTGGATGCGGTGATTCTCTCTATAAACCAGTCAGCTGTTTCTTCAATTACTGAAGACAATGACCGGGACAATGGGATCAAAGTTGTTGAAGTGTTAGATATGAATGATTCTCATACATCTTCTGAAAATGCAAATCAGGATTCTACTTCTCTAAAGAAGTGTGATTTAGATGTTGAGTCTACCAAATCTTCAGGTCCTAAGGAGCAGAATGTGTCATTTGAATCTTTAAAACCAGGATTAGCCAATTCTAAAGCTAGACGGTTATCTGTTCCTCTGCTAGATCTCCATAAGGACCACGATATAGATACTCTTCCGTCGCCTACACGAGAAATTGCACTAATATTCCCTATTGCAAAAGCATCCACGCAGGCACATGGAGTGGTGAAACCGGAGTTGCCCATGTTTACGGGTGTTCTTGAGAAAGGGAGCTCCTTATTGCATCCTTATGAAACTGATGCCCTTAAAGCTGTTTCCTCCTATCAACAAAAATTTGGTCGAAGTTCCCTTTTTGTTAGTGAAAAGTTTCCAAGTCCAACCCCATCCGATGAGGGTGATAGTGGGGAAGGGGACACCGGTGGGGAGGTTTCCAGTTCTAATGTTGGACATAATGCCAGCATTCTGAATACATCTAGCACTTGGCTACCAATAGTTTCTTCTGTTCCCCCGACAAATATTCTGGCTGGACAAGGACTTGGAACTGCTCGGAATGCAGATCCTCTTAGTTTTCTGCCAAATCCTTCTTTGCGATCTTCTACTGCAAAAAGTAGAGATCCCAGACTCAGATTGGCAACCAGCGAGGCGGCTGCTCAGAACTTGAATATGAAGATGTTGCCTATCCCAAACATTGATTTAAAATTAGAGGCTTCTTTAGAGATGATACAATCAAGAAAGCAGAAGATAGCAGAGCAACCAGCTTTTGATTCTTCATTGTTGAAGAGACAAAGAAGTGAACAGACTGACTCAATCATTGTGAGTGATGTGCGACCTTCGACTGGAAATGGTGGTTGGTTAGAGCATAGAGGAACTGCGGGATTGCCAATTACGAGTAGTAACTATGTTACAGATAGCAGTGGCAATGGCACTAGGAAATTGGAGCAAGTAACAAGTAGTGTCTCTACTAGCAATACTATGCCCAGTGTCATAGTTAATGCTGATGTGAACTTGCCATTGACTGGTACTTCTGCAAATTTGCATTCTCTATTAAAAGACATTGCTATAAATCCATCAATATGGATGAATATAATCAAGTTGGAACAGCAGAAATCTGCAGATGATTCTAAAACTACCACACTAGCTTCTAGTTCTAGCTCTATTCTTGGAGCAGTTCCATCAACGAATGTAGCTGCTTCCAGAACTTCTATGATTGGGCAGAGATCAGTTGGAATAATTCAGGCTCCTACACAGACAGCAGCAGCAGTAAGTTATTTACAACCTTCTGAAGAATGAGTTCATTTGCAGTGAGTTCTTTACTGCTTTTATCGCACAGTTTCCTTTTTATTTCTGCCTTTTCTCTAAGCAGTGTTTGATATTTTATGTTACTTTAGTTATCCTCCAAAATATCTGACATTGTCGGGATTTGCAGGATGAAGTGGCTAAAGTCCGGATGAAACCCCGCGACCCTCGGCGTGTTCTTCATAATACTGCAGTTCAAAAGAGTGGGAATGTTGGATCTGCTGATCAATGTAAAACGGGTGTAGCAGGCACACAAGCCATGACAAGCAGTCATTGTGTCCAAAGGCCAGAAGACCAGTTGGATAGAAAGTCAGCTGTGACACCTTCTACTACACCACCAGACATTGCTCGCCAATTCACCAAAAATTTGAAAAATATCGCTGATATGATCTCTGTTTCACCAACATCCACGTCACCAGCAGCTGCTTCTCAAACTCCAACACAACATATGCAAGTTCATCCGAGTAGATTGGAAGGAAATGGGGCAGTTTCTGAATCAAGTGAACTGCTGACTGATGCTGGCTTAGCTTCTGGAAAAGCTCCTCCTGATTCATTGCAACCGCAGAGCTCTTGGGGAAATGTTGAGCATCTATTTGAAGGGTATAGTGACCAGCAGAGAGCTTCTATTCAGAGAGAAAGGACTAGGAGGCTTGAGGAACAGAAAAAAATGTTTTCTGTTCGGAAGCTCTGTCTTGTCTTGGACTTGGACCATACTCTTCTCAATTCAGCAAAGGCAAGAATCCTTTAGAACTTGTAGATTCTGAGCTTAGTTTCTCTGTCCGTAGTGATTATTTTTATGGTCTTGTTCTTTTTCAGTTTGTTGAAATCGACCCAGTCCATCAAGAGATCTTGAGGAAGAAAGAGGAACAAGACCGTGAAAAACCTTATCGGCACCTCTTCCGGTTTCTGCACATGGGAATGTGGACAAAATTACGGCCTGGGATCTGGAATTTCTTGGAAAAGGTAATTGTTTTTCTAATATATGTGTCTATGTATTTATAGCTAGAGATCGGATATTGAATGTTCTCTTTATTTTTATGTTTTTGTAATAATGTGCTGGTTTAGGCTAGCAAGCTTTTTGAGCTGCATCTCTATACCATGGGGAACAAGCTATATGCCACGGAGATGGCAAAATTGCTAGATCCAAAAGGGGATCTGTTTGCTGGACGAGTGATCTCCAGGGGTGACGATGGAGATCCACTTGATGGGGATGAAAGGATTCCTAAGAGTAAGGACTTGGAGGGGGTTTTGGGCATGGAGTCTGCTGTTGTGATTGTAGATGATTCTGTGAGAGTCTGGCCACATAACAAGCTAAATTTGATTGTTGTGGAGAGGTAATTGCATGTTTGATGTCATTCATGAACGAGTTCTCAAGTGTATCTGCATACTATGGCAGATATTGTGCTGTTCAAATGTCTACGATTAATATTTTTGTATCTATAGGTATATTTACTTTCCTTGCAGTAGACGACAATTTGGTCTCCCTGGTCCTTCTCTTCTTGAGATTGATCATGATGAAAGACCAGAAGATGGGACATTGGCCTCTTGTTTGGGGGTGAGTTGATGTTTGATCTTGTATAAGAAATCTCTAGGAGAGTAATTTCTTGGTACTGATATTCTGTATCATTTCATACAATTAGGTTATTCAAAGAATACATCAGAATTTTTTTGAACATCGGTCCATAGATGAAGCTGATGTTAGGAACATCTTAGCCACAGAACAACAGAAGATTCTGGCAGGTTGCCGTATTGTCTTCAGCAGAGTATTTCCTGTTGGTGAAGCCAATCCTCATTTTCATCCTTTGTGGCAGACAGCTGAACAGTTTGGTGCTGTCTGCAGTAGTCAAATTGATGAGCTGGTTACCCATGTGGTTGCCAATTCTCTTGGGACAGACAAGGTGTGTGTTATTTTTCCCAATATTATCACTTTACACTGCTCACATCCCATACCCATTTGCAACAAAAATTAGGGAAACGAAACTAGTGGCCCGCTTGGAGAAATGAGAATGAAATGTTTTAAGTAAATGTAGAGAGCTGCTAGTGGAGAAGTCTACCATACGTTGCACTGTGTGATCGAGTCACATCATTACTTATTATTCTTAGTCACATTCTTTTTGGTCCTCCTGAACTATGTATGTGGAATGTATTTTTAGAGGTTTAATTGCAAGTTTTTCTAACAGGTTAACTGGGCGCTTTCCACTGGTCGATTTGTTGTTCATCCTGGCTGGTATGATCTTTTTATTTTACAATTGCAGTCTTATTACTACCATTGTAATTTAAGTTGGTTGTATTTCTTGATTTATCCACCAAAAATAAAATAAAAAAAATTGCAGGGTGGAGGCATCAACTTTGCTTTATCGGAGGGCGAATGAACATGATTTTGCTATTAAACCTTAAAATTAACACCGTTTCCATCTTTTGATAAAGAAAGCGAAAAAAGGTCCAGAGATGAAATCAAGAATTGGATGGGTGTTAGAAACAGAAACAATAGGGGTGAATGGATTGTGGATTAGCTTAATCGGAATCCGCCCAAAACGCCTTTGCTGCATTTGGCCTGTCTATAGCAACCCTAGGGACAACCTTGGCTTGACCAATTTTTCACATCCTCACTTGGGATTTTGATTATTCCGAATTCCAAAGTAGAATGGCGCTGCGGCTTTATTTACGATGAGTATTGCGTAGCGCGTGTTCTATTCAACCACATAAGAACACATTGATTCTGTAGCTGATGAAAAGGGGAAGGAGGCGATGAGAGCTTATCTAGTTATCTGTTTGGAGACATTCGATAAAATTGGAAACGGATAAAATCATTATACACAATTTAAGTTTTCAGTGAATTGGGTAACTGGAATCCCTTTAGTGGTGGCAAACAAGCAATTATTGAATGGAATAATGAAAATTGTTGGTTGATTAATATGCCAACTACACCCCTCGAATAAGGAATTATGACGATGTAATACGTCTCTAAGCCGAAAAGGACATTTCGAAGTTCCCTGCTTTTATCGGCTTATCTGCCATTCGTTTTTATTTTATTTTCATTAATTTTATAAATTTGTATAGGTAAGATTTTTGCCCGCTACTCCCGAAAGAGTAATTTAATAGCTTTATGACTTTTAAATAACAATAAAGTAAATCTTCAAGGTTATATTTATTTGCCAAGATATGGAGAAAATTTATCAACATACAATGTTCCATTCTAACCACATTAATTTATCATGGTTTTGTGGTGATTGTGTTTTATTGAGGTGCAAAAACATCAGTAAACTATGGCTTATGATAGTATATATTTAGGAGCCGTATTATGTATTTATTAGGCATGCTGCAAACATAAAACTCTGGTGTGCATTTCTATTTTTTGTTTCAAACAGATTGGTGCATACATAGTCTAGGGGACCCAAACTGCTCGTGTTAATGTGCATGGTTTTTTTTGGCTGGAATTTAAACGTCGTAATCCTCTTGTCAACATGTTATGCTATATTCTTTTTTCTTTTCTCTCTCTCTCTCTCTAATGTTTTAAGATGTTTCCCATCATTTTATTTTTATACTAATATTTTTTTATTGAACTAATACTTGTAAGAAATTCATATCTTAAACTTTGAAGTGATTTTTCTACATCAAGTTAACATTTCAAGAAAAACTTTAATATCTTTTTTCTACAATAATAATAATAATAATAATATTATTATCATATGTGAGATAAATGCGGGAGTCGAGGCTGAGATGGTTTGGGATGCTCCTCCTGTTAGGAGGTGGAGAGGTTGGCTATGGCGGATCTGAGTAGAGATAGAAGTAGGCCAAAGAAATACTGATGAGAGACGATTAGGCAGGATATGGCGATCCTTTAGCTTTCTGAGAACATGATCAAAGATAAGAGGTGTGGAGGTCGAGAATTAGGGTAGAAGACTAGTAGGTAATTGAGAGTTCCCCTTTCATTACTATTAGTAGCACTCTTGTATTTTCCTATTCTTCGATCTCTATTACTGCATGTTATTTCGTTCGTTTCGTGATAACGACTAGGTCGGGAATCCAAACTAGAGTAAGAATTTGAAAAGTAAATGCAGAAGCAATAACAATAAGGAATTGAACAACTAGAACTAAAGGGCAGAAAATAAAGGATATGGAAAAATTCAAGGAAAGAATTTCAAGAACTTCCAAGAACGCAAGTTCTATAGCCTTGATAAGATCAAAACAACACCGTCTTGATTTATTGAAGAAATGAAACGCCTTTACTTAAAAGCAAATCAAAACAATAGATTCGGATCTTGACCGCTTTACGAGTAACTTGAGACAATAATTAATAACTAGTATTAATCGCCTTCTGAGAATACCACAAAGGAATCAAAGATATCACAATAGAGAAGTAATCTTACTACCTTGAACTATGGACTAGTAAATGTTGCAAGATAAATCTCAAAGCACAAGTAACAAAGGTTCAAAAGAACTCTCAAAGTATGATATACTTAATCAATAATGAAGTGTCTCAATGAATGAGAAGAACTCCTTATTTATAGGAGTTATAAGGCATAAAAAGTCCTTAAAAATAGGTAGGGTGGTTGCTAAGGCATAAAAAATCATTACAATTAGGTAGGATGATTGCTAAGGACTAAGAAAAGTCATTACAATTAGGTGGGGGCGGCCAAATTCCTTTGGGGCAAATTTGGACCACCTCTTTTAAGCTCATTTTGAGCCCCCTTTGGTGGGCTTCAAGGGCTGATTTGGTGGCCCAATCTTCCTCCTCTTGGACTTCAATTTGGATCACCAAATAATTGTAAAACTTGGATAATTCATCTTCTTTGAGCTTGAGCTCTTCCTCTACAATTAAAAGTTTTTTATTTGCCATTGAAGTCCAGCAACCTTAGAGTGCAACTCTTTAGCTTGAGATCTTGTAAATGGGCTTGGAGCTTCCAAAACTCTATCCTTGTCCTTGATACTATCACTTCGTTTATCTTATTTCCCTGTTATTATCTAATGCTACTTTTTCTTTGTCGGCTTCTCCTTTTCTCTCCTTTTCCTTTTTCGTCTTTTGTCTTCTTCTTTTCTTCTTCTCTTTCTTTCTTCTTCCTTTTCTTCTTTTTTTCACCTTTTTTGAGCCGAGGGTCTATCGGAAACAGCCTCTCTATTTTTACCAGGTAAGGGTAAGGTCTGCATACACAATACTCTCCCCATACTCCACTTCTGAAATTATACTGAGTTTATTGTTTGTTGTTATTGTAACTTTTGTAACCCGATAAATATGGACATACAAAATAAGATGGTAGAAGTACTTTCATTTTTTGTTTTCCTTTTCTATTTTGGGTTATTTTATTTACAAATACACCTTCTATGCTCCCTCTTCATTAAACAAAAATAACTTTGTTCCACCATATTTGCGAAAAAGATTTCTCTCACTAACGTCGTAAAAATGTCTAGATGAGATTTAGGATAATATTCAAGATTTGTCTCAATCAGACTTATTTAAAAAAATTCTAAGTCTTTAGACAATTTCAATATTTTTTTTTTTTTAAAGTATTTTGTACTTTTGCTCCCTTGACATTTAAGAGAAAATAATATGTACTTACTAATTTTAGTATATTATTTGAAGCGGTGTCAAATATTAAATCAATAAATATCTAAGTACTATTAACCATTTTAAGTAAGCTAAGTTGAGAGAAGTAAAGAGGAAAACTAACACTTGTTTTCAAGAGAAAATGACTAATGAAGGGTGCTCATCCTCTCCTAATTTCGAGCATTTGGTATCAGAGTCAAATTTCTCCAGAGACTTGTCAGAATTCAAAATTCATGAAGATTTAATAAAAATATGAAAAATCTATTAAACGCTTAAGATAAAAATTTATCTGCAGCCAAGCAAAAATGCGAGTTAAGTGATGAGTTCAGTTCAAAAGAAGAGGAGTGACAATTCTAGAAAAAGTAACTCAGATGAATCTGAAGATGATTATGATTCCGAATGTAGACAAGAGAAAATGTGTTATTGAGATCTAACAATGATATTCCTAATGAAGTGAAAAAATGATAGCCACAAGAATCCATCAAGTTACATGTGTTTGAGAACAAACATTCCAAATCCAATCCCCACAAACGTTGCAATGGAAATCCCAAATATCCCAGCAAGAATACTGGGAGCAACCAAAGAGGCCCATCCCTTTGCCGTGGCCATTCCACAAGCTGTTGTAGGACCTCCAACATTAGCATTGGATGCTAAAAGCAACATCTTTAGGTTCATACCAAACAGCTTTCCTAACCCTAGAATCACAATAAGATGGACTGTTACTTGAACAAAAGCAAACATAAAAATACTAGGTGTCGTATTCATGACATGCCAAATACTCCCCTTGGCACCCACTACAGCAAAGAAAACCTGTTTCAAAGAGGAATGAATAATTACTCCAACAAAAGAGTAGAATAACAATATTGAGGTAATTCAATTACCTGCATTAAGACTATCGCAATTTCATCACCAGCACTTGCAAGGTTTCTAAAATAAGCGGGAAATGCTGTTGCTAAAAGAACAACTATTGCTGTAATAGCAGGCAGATCACATCCTTGAGTTCCGAAAAATCGACTAAAAGAAGTGGCAGCTTTACAAATAGCAAAGGAAACAGTAAGTGCTGTACCAATCTGCAGCACAGGTTTGTTTCTACTGTCAAACTTCACAACTTGAGAAGCATCTGCAAAATAATAGAAGAGTAAAGGAGATAACATCATACTAAGAGATAACCCAAGTAAAGATACAAACATGCTATCTTTATAAACTAGAAGTGAATGCGTCCTTCATATGAGATAGATCTACAGTGATGGTGAACACAAAACAACAACAACAACAACAACCCAGTATAATCCCACTAGTGGGGTCTGGGGAGGGTAGTGTGTACGCAGACCTTACCCCTACCTTGGGGTAAAGAGGCTATTTCCGATAGACCATCGGCTCCCTCCCTCCAAGAACTCCCACCTTGCTCTTGAGGTGACTCGAACTCACAACCTATTGGTTGGAAGTGGAGGGTGCTCACCACTAGAGCAACCCACTCTTGTCAAAACTCACAACCTCTTGGTGAACGACAAAACCTAGAATAAAAACTTCTTGACCAGAACAAAATTGATATAAGAACAACTTAGCAAAATACGAAAGGAAATGCTTACAAACGTGAGGAACAATATATTAGACATCTCATGGTATCATAACTTTTTATTCCCTAAATATCACTTACCACCACTTGATGCTGAAGCGTCTGAAGGTATTTTGGAGGCCAATGAAAACAGTGCAATAAAATATATTGCACAAATTACATTATCTGCAGCAACTCCTGCAGCCATAACTGATGGAGACATTCCAAGTGCCTCACAGATAGCAACATAATTAATGGCTGCAAAACCAGAGTAGAACATAACGAAGCAGCAAAAGTGCATGTAGCGAGGATAAAGTACTTTATCTTTTGACGAGAAAAAAAGTCTGGAACTATCTACGATGTAGTTCTGCTAAGAGACTATTAATAATGCACAAACTAGAACTCCCACCCAACGGAAAGTAGTTTCAATACATAAACTTCTCATTGCTTTTAGAAATCTATGAAAAAATTTGTCCACAAATTTACAATTCGAATAGCAAACTATGAGTTCTTTCATTCTTGGTGAATAAAGTTCTTGGGCATGTCATACCGGCATCAGAAATCCTTCTGTAATTACTATTCAAAATGACATGTGCAACAGTAGGAGAGTTCTGCCAGTTTAAAATAATCAAAGCCAAATATTGCCATTGACCACAAAGTAAGGCATCAAAGACATTGAACCAGATATCAAAATTTAACCTAATTTTCATCTTGTGCCGTGGACTAACTTTAATCTCTGAAATTCAATTCCAATTAAATATATGTGCATGACCAGAATACAAATGAAATATACAGAAAATCCATGTATGGAGCTCCTAACCAAAAAAAAAAAAAAGAAGAAGTGGTTTTATTACAGGACTTACTTCCACCAATGTAACTGCCCACGAGGGCAGCAGCTATTTTCCAATTATCTTGACCAAGAGATCTCATAGGCACCATCAGATATGCCACAACAGTCCCAATAACCGTCCCAGCTGTCACATTGGAAGACAAAATATGAAAACAACAGAAAGGCTTTCACACACTAGCTGAAAGTTGAAGTTAGTAGAATGACAAGCATATACATAAAAAGAAGATAACACAAGCATTAATCTCTTAATCTGTGCCCATACGGCGGAGAAAACTCACAATATTTGAAAAGTTATGGCATATAATCACTTAGCTGTAAATATTTATTCATGATAAGAATCCAAGGATATATTAATTCTAAAGTCAGAGATGGAGCTTCTCAAAATAAAGGAACCCGAGACATCTTTATGAGATATTAGAAAAGCATTTCATAAATCTAACTTAATATGGCATTTCAAGAAATTGAAGAGTTGTGCTTGTTGCATTCCTGAAACAATGATACATCGAAATGTAGCTATTACTATACGTCGAAATTTTGCTATACCCGTGTGACCTATAGGTCACGGGTTGGAGCCATGGAAGCAGCCACTAATGCACGCATTAGAGTAGGCTGTCTACATCACATCCCTTGGGGGTACGGCCCTTCCCCGGACCCTGCGTGAACGCATGATGCCTTGTGCACCGAGCTGCCTATACTGATAAGATTGATATGTATGTAAGAAGAGCAGTTAATCTTTCTTTTCACGACCTCTCTACTTCTCTGTGCTCCTCTAAATTGCTCAACAGTCAATTCTTCACCAAAAGGGATTGCTCTTTCGGTGGTAACTGTTCAGTAATAATAAAATCTTCTTTGAGTTCCTCTGTAATGTCTCCAGAAGAGCAGTAGGGTATATGGATGTTCTTTTCGCAGTGGGCACTTTTGGTCCGTGGTAAATGATGCATTCCTTTTAGTTACAAAGTTATGAAAGGAATGCAAGAACAATAATAAACACATAAAGCCAGGTGCAGCTATATGCAGATTCCTGGTTGAAACAATACCAAGTAGCAATGCTAACTACTCAAACAGAGAATGATCTTACAAAGTAAAAGAAAAATCATATTTGATTAATCAAGTTATGTGATGACCTTATCCAATTAGTTTCCATTTTTTTCTGAAAAGTCAAGCTAGTTTGCCATGTTTTAACAAAGTAATGAAACTAAATCCTGAAACTAGCAATATAGTGAGAGTCCATCAAACAATGCCTTCACCACTAGAACTAAAAGAAACAACCACCTCTATTAATTTCAGCAATCAGGCAAAGGGATATAAGCCATATGAGCAAAAAATAGTAGTAGCAAGCAAAAAGACCTGATCCGAGCAAGAAAGCCAAAAGTATAGGACCGGTAGAGCCTATCATGTGCCGCAGATTAGCTCTGAACAACAATAGTGGGATTGTCAATGGAAGCAGGTAGTTAAATACAGCTGAATATGCTGGCGCTTCATACAGAATAATCCCCATATTACTTGCAGTCATGCCCACCAATGTGCTAACCAGTGCAGCACTAACCATACGCCCAATTTTAGTCTTCTCTGACCTTCAGAGTTCAGTTCATTCTCATACTTGAGACGTCAAACTTGCATATGTCCTTTGGAATTCCATATGTGTTATGTGAAATTAATAAAAACAAAAAGGGGAAATGGGGAGATGCGTGTTGAGACAATTCAAACAGTTAATTAAAAGTCTAAAAGATGGTTACACAATTTAAACATGATAGGTTCAAGGAAATATGAACAGCACCCAAAAGTCAAATGAAGAAACAATGTGTTGAGACATAATATATTTAAGTAGTTTAAAAATTTGTTCTGGTTACATAATATATTCATAAAAATGTTTCTGTACCATCATCGGAAGGACAAAATTATTTACCAGAGACCAAAAGCGCCAATTGTGAAAAGAGACATCCATGTACCCCAGTGGTCCTCCGGAGACACTATAGGGGAACTCAAAGTAGATTTTACAATTATTGAATAATTACCATCTTTTCTGGTGAAGAAATGACTGTTGAGGGATTTGGGAGTAGAGAGCTGGTGAAAAGAAAGATTTTTTCGCGGCGCCAACGGGGAAGAGCAAAAGGAGGGCTGAAATGGCAGTAGTACTCTAAATGCCATTAGCAGTGGCCGGCTGCTATTGAAACTTGGGTGGCGGAGCTGAAGTGGTGCTTATAGATAATGATGCATCTTTCAACTTCTTTCTCTGTCTTTTTCTTGCAGAATGGATGCAAGTTCCAAAACACCAATGACTAATATTGTATTAATTATTATTTTTATGTTTGAAGGACTGATCGAAAATCCTAACATTTAAAAAATAGGATAATTATTAATAAATTATTTTAAAATTTACAAAAATACACAAAAATGGGAGTATTTAACTAATTGCAATAAAAATAATAAAATTCCTATATTTTATAAAAATATAGACAATTATCAAAAAATCGCATTAAAGCTAAAAAGTGTTCAAAAACGCTACCATTAATGAATAGGTAGCCCGCAAAAGTTAATTTTTAAATATGGGAAGGCAAAATTGAGTGGCACCAGTTGGTTTGAGCATGATGAGGCTAGGTTGCTGGGCACGGATTTGGTTCATGATGCTTTGAAGAAGGTGAAGTTGATTCAGGAATGACTTCGTACAACGCAGTCCAACAGAAGAGTTGTGCTGATAGAAAAATTTGTGATGTGGCTTTCATGGAGGGTGAGAAGGTTGTTCTTCGAGTTTCACCTATGAAGGGCGTGATGAGATTTGGGAACAAGGGCAAGTTGAGCCCTCAGTATATTGGTCCATTTGAGATTTTGGAGAGATTTGGTAAGGTGGCTTATAGACTTGCTTTGCCACCCAGTTTATCGGGAGTTCATTCGGTGTTTCATGTTTTCATACTTCCGAAGTATCATGAACATCAGTCAAATGTGTTGGATTTTAGTTCAGTGTAGTTGCATGTGAATCTGGCTTATGAAGAGGAGCAATGGCCATTTTGGATAGGCAAGTTCAGAAGCTGAGGTCAAAAGATGTTGCATTAGCGAAGTTTCATTGGAAAGGTCAACCAATCGAAGAGGAGACGTGGGAGACCTAGCTTGATATGCGAAGATGATATCCTCATCTTTTTGGCATTCCAGTTAAGAGGGGGAGAATGTAACGACCCAACCAGTAGTTTCATGTATTTAAGCCCCGTTCGCCTATATGTTGCTTCTCATAGCTTTTTTTGATGTTTTGTGACTTACGGGATTAGTTGATTTGGGTTCGGGAAGGTTTGAGAGTGATTCAGAACACTTGGTCTAATTTGGAAGCTTAAGTTGCTAGAGTTGATCAAGGTTTGACTTTTGAGTGAACAACCTCGGATTGGTGATTTGATAGTTCCAATAGGTTCGTATGGTGATTTTGGACTTAAGCGTATGTCCGGATCTGGATTTAGAGGTTCCTAGAAGGTTTTTGTCACGACCCAAAATCCCAAGCCGTTGTGATGACACCTAAGACATTTGCTAGCCCAACCGAACATAACAATAAAGAACCACAACAACGAAATTTACAGAAATAACATAAATCTGAAACCTCAATATGACAAAATACCACTAATACATGATAAATCCTCAAGAATATGGTAAATACAGAGTTATGAGCTCTACAACGGAATACAAGTCTGAAAGCCAAATAATAATACTGTCTGAACTAAAAACAACAGTACATAAGAAAAGAGACGCCAAGACAGCGGGCTAGAATGCAGCTCTACCTCGTATCTCGATACTCAGCTCAATAAGTAACTCTGCTATTGATAACTGGCCCCAACACCTGGATCTGCACAATTAAGTGCAGAGTGTAGTATGAGTACAACCGACCAATGTACTCAATAAGTATCATAACTAACCTCGGCAAGGTAAAATAAGCAAGAATTATAAGTGATACCTGCTATAACCTGTACAGTTTAATCAATTTAATAAGTACAGAACAATGATGTGATCAAGTATAAAGCACACAAGGAACTATCTCTATGTGTGTGTACAATTACTCAAGTACTCTACTCAGTAAATGATACAACATATAAGGGTGATATGCAAATGAATCAGGTAAGTAACCACGTAAATTGCAAGTAGAGATGAAATACAAATCCAAACAAACACTAGCCAGATTTTCCTCAACCTTTCCATATCCACACCAAACCACTGATCCGTTTTCCTCAATATCTGTGTGTACACCATCAAGAGAGAAATATGAAAGAGTGAGCCTAGGGGGATGGATCCATATCCACATGCAAGCAAGGCCAATTCAACGTGCACAAGCCCAGCGTGGTCACAGGGTTAATATCATAATCCGCCAGACGTGGTCACATGCATAATAGTACAATCCGCTCAGCATGGTCACAAGCATAACAGCGCAATCAGCCCGACATGGTCACATGCATACACAATCTTCCTGGCGTGGTCACAAGCATAATAACATAATTCACCCGGTGTGGTCATAGGAATAACAACACAATCCGCCCGGCGTGATCACAGACATCCAGTCCAATCATATCACACAAGAGCAAATATACAATAATACATGTATGTGATGAATGACTAACAAATCTCATGCTCCTGGACGGGTATAAATGACATGCTAAAGTGTAGGCATGTGCAAAGTGTAGTATCACTACTCAAATCAGCAATTTCATCACAGAAATAGCAATTATCTAGTTTATTTTGGGAATTAGCCTCTATGTAACCTCAAACATGGTCAGATAGTTCTCAACAAGGTTACAAATATGAGAAACATTATAGCTTAAAGCTTAACGGTCAATTCTAGGCATATCATAGCCTAAGCATTACCCCGGACATGGATAAATACCCCGGTACTCGCACATGGGCTCAAACCTCACTCATATGCGCACCCATAACACGTAGCTATCACAAATAATTCAGGAAACTAGTGCCTCAACCAAATTTTGGTAAGATACTTACCTCAAGTAAGCCAAATTACTCCTCTAACAAGCCCTTCCCACGTGCATCAACCTCCGGACGACCCGAATCTAGTCAAATCAACTTAATATAATCAATAAAAGTCATAGAAATTGATTCCAAATGATAAAGCTAAGATCTTTAACCAAAATCAAAAAGTCAACCCAAAATGTCAATCTCGGGCTCGCACCTCGAAACCCGACAAAATCCAAAAATTAACACCCATTCTTTTACGAGTCCAACCATACTAAAATCATCTAATTCCGACCTTAAATCGACCATCAAATCCCCATTTTATACTTTAGGAAAGGTTTTACCAAAATCCTATTTTTTCACTTTAATTCACTAATTAAATGATTAAAAACAAAGATGGAATCATGAAATAATAACAAATCCGAGTCAAAAACACTTACCCCAATCCAAATCGTGAAAATCCCTTCCAAAATTGCCCAAATTCGAGCTCTAACTCAAAATGTGGTATAATAACTCTAACCCTTGAAATGGGATTTAAAACATTCTGCCCAGTCATTCCTCTTCGCGAGCGCAGAAGATGCCTCGCGTTCGCGAAGCACAAATCACACAGTTGCCAAAACCTCTTACACGAACGCGAAAGCTTAGTCCCGAACGCGAGCACCCTAAAGCTACGCGATCGCGGTCCAGGTCTTGCGACCGCGAAGAACAATCCCTACCATCCCTGAGCCTTCCCTCCCTTCTACGCGAATACCTCACCTAGCTCGCGTTCGCGTTGTCAAGTTTTTGAAAAATAAGAAATTGAATTTTGAGAGTCGATTTGGACTCGGATTTTGAAACTAATCACATATATGAACTCGTGGGGTCATGGGTAGACGGAATCTACCATTGAGCCCGGGTTGACCTTTTGGGAAAAGTGTAAAGATCTTAACTTTATCTATTGCAATTGAATTCCCTAGCATTGTTTGATGTTATGAGTCGATTTTGGTTAGATTTGAGCCATGTGGAGATGCATTTTTAGGGGAAAAGCTATTTCCAAAGGTTGAATTGGCCTAGTTGTGTTAAGTGTCTTGCCTAACTTCATGTGGGAAACTACCCCTTAGGATTGGTATTGTTTGATTAAATTGTGCAAAGTGAAATCCGTGTATGCAAGGTGACGAGTGGGTACACGGGTTGTACGTGGTATTTGACCGGTTTAGGTTACTTAGACTAAATTCTCATAGTCAAATTATCCTTAATTGTGTTAGACTGTCCTTAAATGCCTTAGTTGACTTGTCTAGTATTTTTTCTACATCCCACTTGCTAAATTGCTCCCATGCTTTAGTCGAACTTGTTGTCTCCTTTATTGTTACATGTTATCTCTTCATTGTTAATTATCATTGTTCGAATTGATTGTTCGTGTTATCTCTTTACTTTTTGATTTCCATTATTTGAGACTCATTGTTGAATATTATTTCCTTTATATTGAGTTAGTCTTATCTAATATCGTGGTTATACATTATTTTCTCATCGTTGAGTTATTTGGTGTTGAAATTGTGAAAGTCGTTAATACGTTGAGGCGATGTTGGTTATTATTGACACATCTATCTTATTAAGCATTTTTCATTCATTATTGTTGTTGCTATTCTTGTATACGTTGTGGTGGAGCCATGGGCTATTTTTGTGGAAATATTGATATTGTTGTTGTTGGCAAATTGTGATATGTGGGCACTTGTGGTGCGAATTATTATTGTGATATGATATTGACGCGCATGCGGCGGTATAAGGCTTGGGTTGATGTGCATGCGGCGATATAAGGTGGAACCTATGTGCGTGTTGCTTGTAGGGGAAGTACGTGAAGGCACGCGGCGTCAAAAGGGCTAAAGTGCGTGTAGCTGTTATATGAAAACTGTTTTTTAAACCTATTTTCAAATGTAAGTCTCACGCGGCGATATAAGGAAAGATTGTGATTGAATTTGAGAAAGTGAATATGAGGCAGTACCTCGGTTGTGATTCTTGATTATACGAGGCGGTACCTCGGTTTGATCTTATTATACACGAGGTGGCACATCGTTGTGATTCTTGTTGTCATTTCGTGTTGCATAGTGTTTTGGTGGAAATATATCTTGTTGTTTCACTCTTAATTGTTCTAGTAATGATGGGTCGTACATGATCATTGTAGCTCTTTAGTTGCTTCTTTTTCTGCTATTTTCGTTGTTGGTTTCTGGTACTAGTTCATGTTATTATTTTGGTTTCATTTCAGTTATTCTTCATTTTCCTTTACATGCTTGTATTACACTTTCATACTGTCTATTTTATATCCCAGTAGGTGTCTTGACCTGGCC